GAGTATTGAAATAGATCATGAAAAGCAATGACATCTTACGCTTTGGCCTTGGAACTATGGGTTTCAATTAAGGGACCAACAACAAGATCAGTGTATTAGTATCCTGCAGACACTGCTCCAAAGCACCCTCTGCTGGGACTAGGGAACAGCATGGACCAGAAATCCTCATATTTTCTTCCACAACGGAGACAGGTGGCCTATGGTCACATTTTGGCTCTGACTACTTGACCCCAAGCTTTTCCTTCTTTGCTGGGGACAATAAGTAGGGCACTGGCAGGCTGCAACAAGTGGCCACCTCTACTTTCTGACTGGTCCTGTCCACTGCCATGTACCACCTGGATTGTGACAACAGCCTCCTCCAGACCTCCTTCCTCCTGCCCTCCTGCCAAGTCCCTTCTTCCCATAGCAGCCTGAGTCAAATCATGTCTCTGCTCTACACAGAACCTGCTAAGGATTTCCCATCACTTTCAGAATAAAATCTACACTTATTGCTCCTCCTGCAAGGCCCTGGCATCTCACTGAGGGAAACTTGTCAGGTGAGCCACAAAAGGACCCTCAGGGCTACGTAAACAAAGAGGTTCCTATCTACACAGATGGTTCTCCACCAGCATCCCTGCCTTTCTCTGTGCTGGGTGCACCCTCCTTTAAGCACGTTTTCCTGGGAGGCCACTTGGGAGTCAGTCTGCCTGGGTTTGAATACTGGCTCTACCCCTTCTCCAGCTGTGTGACTCTGGGCTCTTTTCCTCATCTATAAAATAGAGATAATAGTGCCTGCCTCAAAGGTTATCAGGATTCAATAAGATAATCCATATACAGTACTTAGCATTGTATCTGGCATACAGTGAGCATTCAATAATATTAGCCATTATTACATGTACATGTGTCAAATGTATTTGCACAAAGCCACACATGCAGTTAAGAATTAAAAGGTCTCAATCAATACACTATTACATTTAATATAAGATTCTCCCTTTTCCACTTTGTACACAGGTACTGTTTAAATTCTTAACAGTGAGTGACTGTTACTTTTTAAATAAAGAAAAAATAAAAATATAAACCTCTAACCTTAACAAAACTAAGGTCTGTCAAAAACTCACACTGGGAGGTCTAAATGGAATTCACTGAGCTTGGTGGACCAGGCAGTTCCTGGTTTGGGGCTCCCTATGTCATGGGAGACATTGCCAGTAAAGGGGCTGAGGACAGGGCAGTCCTGGCCTGGGCTTGTCCTATCCAGGTTTAGGGGCTGACACTTAGGTGTGTGCTGCCAAAGCCCAGCTCCAAGTCTGTCCTTGCCCCAGTGGGAAGTTCAGTGCTGCCAACACACTCTCCTTTTGCCAGGAGATGTAGGCCTGCTTGGCTGTCTGCTTGGTGGCCGGTGGTGGTGGCCATATGGGGCAGACCAGCCAGCTGGCTTGGAAAACAGCCGGGGCCCTCGTTCTGGCCCCATGCCTTGGTTTATAAGAGCCTGTTACATGTGTGTATACAGGAGAACAGAACTCTGTGCATGAACTCAACCCTTGCTCCCCAGAGTGTACCTCTGACCTCGCATCAGAGGGCGATGGCCACGACAGCAGTGTCATCATAATATCTGCCACTTAGAGCTCCCTGCCTTGCAGCCTTGTGCTTCCACACCTGTGCTCTTCTTGCCACTTCAAGAAACGGGGCAGCACAAAGTCTATTTTACAGATGAAGATACTGAGGTGCCCAGAAGTAAATCCATCTGCCGAAGGTCACTAGGCTAATGAGTGGCAGAGCCAGACCGAACCCAAGGCTGTCTGTTCCCAGAGTCAGAATTCAGTTTTGATCTGAGAGTGAATGTGATGAGTGGTGAAGAGCATGAGCTCAGGACCCAGGCAGTTTGGGTCCATGTCCAGCTCTGCCATAGGCTTCAATGTCCTCATCTATAGAATGAGGATCATAATGAGATTGTAGAAAGAATTTGAAGGGTAAGTGCATATAAACACTAAGGACAATGCCCGGCAGGAATACTAGTATGTGCTAAGAGTGTTAGCTATTGTTGTTACTACTCTGAGGCTATGAAATCCTCTGTTCTGCCACCACAACAGAAAGGGTCTTGGGAAGGAACCAGGCAAATCTTGCTGCCTTTCCCTCCAACTCCAGATGATGAGGTCCCCGGTCCTGAGTGCCCAACAGGGCAGCTATGCAAGGACTCAGCCTACGGCTGAATCTATGTATGACCTGTGTGTGTGTGAGGATAAAGAAAGGGCTGCTTGTGGTTGTGAACTTCATGGTGGGTCAAAATTCACAGGACTGACTGGCATGGACAAGGGGACAGTGGAATGAGACCACTCTCAACCGCTGACTTCACTGGCCTTTCCCTAAGTGCCAGGCCCAGCACTGACCACTTTATAAGTGCAATCTCACAGAGCCCACACCAGTCCAATGAAACAGAAATTCCTAAGAGGGAAACAGGCTGTGAGAGAAGCTACATGCCCAAGATTTCACAGCTGTTGAATGGCCAAACCAGGATCCACACCAGGCTTCCCTTACTCATTTCTCCTTCCTTGCTTTACTTTCCACCTTGTCATACACATGCTATATAATTTATTAAGGTATCTGTGTATTGTCTGCCTCCCCCACAGGAATGCAGTCCCATGAGTATTTTTGCTGCCTAATTCATTACTTCCTGTTCTCTCAGCGCCCAGCATAGAGTTGGCAGAGGGCAGTGCTGAGTGATTCTCTTTCTTTTATTAAAAAAATATTTTTTATTCATTTGAGAGAGAGAGAGAGAGAATATCAACATCGGAGAGAGAGAGAGGGAGAATATCAACATCAATTGGCTGCCTCCTGCACGTCCCACAACCTGGGCACGGGCCCTGGCCAGGAATAGAATCGGCAATCTCCTGGTGCATGGGTTGATGCTCAACCACTGAGTCACAATGGCCGGGCCTGAGTGAATCTCTATGGGGTGGATAAAACTCCAACCTGTGGCCCTGAGCCTCAGGCCCGACCTGGGCAGACTGGAGGTTGGTTTTGTGGGTAGTAAGGAGATGGAAGGAGGCACATGCCAGAAATGGCTCTAAGCCAGTTTCAAACTTATTGAAAAGGAACCACAGCAAAAATATTGTACCCTGACCCAGTATCTCCACACCAAAGTCTCATGACTCTCAGAATGTGCAATGCAGTCTGGTATTTTAAAAATCCATTCTAATGATTCTATTTCCACTAACAACAACAACAACAACAACATAAAAATACTGACACTAAGCTGAGTTCACAACTCATGAATGGGTCTGACATAGAGTCTAAGCTGTTATTGAAATCCCAGAGGCAGCTGAGCTGTGGTTGGAGCACAGGCTGACACCTCACTGTACCACTTACTGGAGGGTGCTTTGGGCAAGTCCCTTAACCTTTCTATGCCTGTTTTCTCATCTGTGAATGGATAATAGTGCCTTCATCACAGAACTGTCATGACATTTAAGTGAGTGAACAGACATAAAAGGGTAGAGAAATGCCCAACACATAGTGTTAAACAGCTATAGCAAATATTATTAGTATTTGGTGATCATTGCCACTACACCTAGCAGTTTCCCATGTCATACAACAGTGTCACACAGTGTGAGCTCTCTCCTCACATTCTGCCCCAATGCTCATGTGGCCAGAAAGGCAAGGAGAGAGAGGAGAGTGCTGGAGAGACAGGGGTAGGTGACCACCTGCAAAATGGGGCACAAGGTTTGGGGGCTGCCTCCCCTCAGCTGCCACAAAGCTTCTGTGTTATATCACATTCCCCCTCAGTGGGAAGGACTTCATGAGGGGTTGGGGCTGGGTTCTTGGTATAGCATCTACCTATCTGGATGAGTTCCAGGCTTGGCTGGCCCCTCACACCATGTCTGGGCAAACGCCAGGCCCAAGGGGCTATGCAGGGCTGAGGGAGACCCATTTTGGGGGACCTTCCCAGCTGACAATTGCTCCTTTTCTGGAAAGGTTTTTTGGAAATCTCCATCATTTTTGTTCTCCCAGTTCCCCTTTTTTTGGTCAAGCAGCCTCCTCCAGATGGCTCTGATGGAAGTGTCAATCACAGTGCCTTGCCCTACCCCAGTTTCCTCTATCATCCCTGATGACAATGGCTGGCCCAGGATGTGCGTGGACTTGTGATCCAAGCAGAGCCAGAGTCCTTCCCAGAGATTCAGCAGATAAGAGTGTCTTCCCTGTAGAGAGAAAGTCATAAAGATATAGAAGAATTGAGCGGCCAGTCTCCATTTTCCCGTGACATGAAGAGAGTTTGTTGGAGGCAAAAGAGAATGACATTCACAATCTAAAAAGCTGAGCAGAATGGAGAGATGAGGAGGCAGAGTTCTCTGGTGACATTGTTGGAGTGCCTGGGGCCACCATGCCAGAAGCTAGCCCTACCCCTGGATTTGCAGATATATGAACCAATGAATTCTTTTTCTGGCTTAAAATGTTACAAGTAGATTTCTGTTACTTACAACTTCAGAGCCTAATCAAGCAGGGTGCCCCCAATAAGCCTTGTTCCTTAGTCACAGCTGACATGTAATCCAGAGGAAGGCCTCTGACCAAGCCAGGACAATGGGATTCTCCATTCAGGATGAAGAACTGCAATGGGAGTGTTTTGAGCCATCAGCATCAACAGCAGTGCTTTGGGCTGAGATTTCCCAATTCCTGCCCTGCCCAGGCATGCTGCCTTAAATCTTTTTTCCACTCTGCAGGACACCTCATGGTCCTGAAAGAATCCTCTACATACCTTCCTTTAATAATTTCTTGCAAATAGAAGACCCAGGGCTCTGCAGTGAGACACAACAGATTCCAGTTCTGGCCTGGACACTCATTCACTGATCTTAGACAAGTTTAATTTCTCTGAGTCTTACTTTTCTCTTCTGTAAAATGAGGAGACTTGTGTTTGTGAAGTTATTGGGAGGATTACATGAGATGAAGCAGCTGAAGCGCTTGCCCATAGAACCTGGCTCAGAGGAAGAGTGCACAGATGTGAGCAGCTACTATTTACATAATAGGGAACCTACCTCTCGGGTCCGGAAGATGATCCTATACTGGTACTGAGGCCCATGGTCCTTGTGGTCCTCCAGCTTCTCCCGTTTGATGCTCACAGCCACTGGCCCTAGCTTGTCATCCACACCAAAGTAATTGGCATGCTCTGTGAGAGAAGAGTAGGTGAGTTCAGAGTCAGCTCTCTGGTGATATCCCACGGCAGGCCTGCTGAGGGGATGGCGGGTGTAGGCTCTCAGCCCAGTCACGGCCACATTCAATGGAGAGACCATAAGAGGTGAATGCCCATCTTACTACACCATGTCTGCCAAGTCACACAACTTGAGCTTCAGTGCTCTCTCAGAAATGAGGGCCCTGACATTACCCACAATTCACAGAGCTGATGGGAGGGTAAAATAAAGCTACAAATATAAAATGCTCAGTGTGGTACACAGCACGTAATAAACCCAGTGTCATTGTGATTCTTCTGTATTTGCAAATGTTCATCAGTTTAGCTGCCAAATTACCTCTCATGAAATGGCTAACACTCTAGAAGTGATTAAGATTCTAGCTAAAGAGCCTTTGAAGCCTGACTAGCAATGTTAGATGTTTGGCCCAAGTCACTTGATAGTCTTCTCATCAGTAAAATGGGATCAGTAAGTATGGACCCACTTCTCAGTATGATTGTGAGAATTAAGTTAAAAAGTACTAAACACTCAGCACAGAGCCAGGCACACAGCAAGCAAGTGAGCAGTGCTAGCTATTACTACTCCCAGGGCATAATGTTTGTCATAGAAAAAGGACCATGATTCAGGTCCATAAGCATCACCTTTATCTGATCGCATTTCTGTAGACCCAGGAAACTTAACCACTACTCTTTTTTTCCCTTGTGCTGACATAGCCATTAAGGAGTCATGGAGGAAGTCTCTTGCTCTCTCCAGGAAACGACAGCTGTCTCACCCCCTTTCTAAAACATGCTGCTGTTTTATTATGCTTCCAGAAAACTGTTCTTCCTGATGTATAACCCAAGTATCTCCTGCCTGTGGTGGATATCCATCAGCAGTCTGACTTGATCCAAGTCCATGAAGTCAGCATCTACCCACTGTTAGAAATTCCTTCCCATCCAGTGCTCTGATGTTGAATTGACGGTGCCTACTTTCATGAGATGCTCTTGCAAATCAAAGGTTTATCTAAGGCCCAAATAATGTTAGTTAATGACCCAATCAGAACAGCACCTACAGTGGGTTCAATAATTTCCCCAGCTGGCAGAGAACAGAGTAAATACTATACTCCACAAATACCAGTTCACTCCTGAAGTGGTTGTTGTGTTTGTTTTTTAATACACTAATGCATATCCAGGTATCTCCCAATTGGCCCTGGCATACAGTAGGCACTCAATAAATAATGACCAATGACTAATTAATTTATGAGCTTCCAGGGCTACAAAAAAATACTTTTTTAAAGTAAGCTGCTTTTTAAAAAGTTACGTGAGTACTTACTACCAGCCTGATGAAGAGCTACATGTTTTAATGTACAATCCTTTTTGATCCTCATGACAGTCCTTTCATGTAGGTATTTCTAGGTGTGAGTTGAAAAGAATGTGTCCTCTGTTAATTAGGTACAAAATGAATATGCACAACTGTACACATATGTATATGTAATATGTATACAAAATGAATATGTACTAATATCAAAACCCAGTTTTGATGGGTTATTCAAATCCATTTCCACCTTATTGTTTTGGTTCCTAGATCCATCAATTTCAATGAGAGGCCCTGTTAGCTGCTGCCACTGATTATGGATTTGTTCACTTCTCCCTGTATACATATACATATGCCCCTAAACCAGGTTGGCAAATACAAAGGGTTCACAACTATTAGAGCTTTTTGGTAAATTTTTAAATATCAGCATGAAATGGCCTTTTCAGTTCCTCCTAAAAGAGCTTTTAGCCTTGAAATACATTTTGTGTGATACTGAGGTTGCCTTACCTGCTTTCTCTTGGTTAGCAACGGACTGAAACTTCTTTTTTAATCCCTTTATTTTCAATTTTTGTGTCATTTTGTTTTTGGGCATGTGATACTACTACAATCATGTCTATTCCTCACATGAGGACATGGAGTCTAGAGGAAGAAATGTGTCATGTAGTTAATAAGCTATGGAATGAGCCCTGACTGGTTTGGCTCAGTGGATAGAGCGTCGACCTGTGGACTGAAGGGTCCCAGGTTCGATTCCGGTCAAGGGCATGTACCTTGGTTGCGGGCACATCCCCAGTAGCAGGTGTGCAGGAGGCAGCTGATCGATGTTTCTCTCTCATTGATGTTTCTAGCTTTCTATCCCTCTCCCTTCCTCTCTGTAAAAAGTCAATAAAATATATTTTAAAAAAAAAAGCTATGGAATGAACACCCCAAGCCCAGGGCTGCCTGACTCCAGAGACTGTACTCTGAGCCTTGCAGGATGACCTAATTGATATTGGTTATGCTTGAGTAGGACATTGCTTTAAAAATTTTTTCAACTAGTTGCTATGAAGTATTAGCTGCCTATCCATTCATCCCTTCTTCCTTTTTAGGAAAACCCTCTAATCTTGGGGGAAGAAAAAAAAGGGACTATGTCTAGGTAAAAACCTCTATTACCCAGCCTGCCTTGCAGATAGGAGCAGACAATAAGCAGTAACAGTTGGATGGGCTTCTGAGAAAACTCTTTAAAAGGGAGTGACTTGAGCCCTGACTGGTTTGGCTCAGTTAATAGAGCGTCGACCTGCGGACTGAAGGGTCCCAGGTTCAATTCCAGTCAAGGGCATGTACCTTGGTTGCGGGCACATCCCCCGTAGGGGGTGTGCAGGAGGCAGCTGATCGATGTTTCTAACTCTCTATCCCTCTCCTTTCCTCTCTGTAAAAAAAATCAATAAAAATATATATTTTTAAAAAAGGGATTAACATGACAGGAGGTCTGCCTTTTTGCCCTTATCCTGTCCTCTTTTTCTCTGCCTGGAAACATGCATGAAATGGCTGGAGCTCCAGCAACCATCTTGGACCAGGAGACCACCTGAGGTCTGGAGACCATGTACTAAGGTTGGCATTCCACTGATGCTGAGGAGTAACAATACCAGCCCTGGGCTGCTGACTTCTGAACTTCTTCATGAGAGAAATAAATTTCTATGCTGTGTAAGCCTGCTACTGGTAGTTGTAAGCAATTGTGAATTGATTCAGCTACCAGCATTTAAACATTAGAAGAATTCACATTTTAAAAAATTTGAATTTCAGGAGAATCTTGAAAAAAATCAGAAAGGATGGCAACCCTGGGTTTGTCTGCATTTCCTACATGACAACGATGAGCTGGACCTGAGCAGGAGCTGCCCTGTGCTTAGTCCCTGGTTGGTGTGCTTCACTTCTGTACATGTCCTGCCTGGGTTTGTGGTCTCTGCACTATGCTATGTTGCCTCGTGGAATTGCCCCACCAGCACCAACAAATTTAATGATATATGAAGCCTGTCTCTCCCTGGCGTTAATGACTTCAAAACATCAATAATTCCACCTTCAAAGGGGATCCAGAGCCTGCCTGTTTCTTCCCTGCCCCTATCCTAGATGTGTCTAGCATCGCCTTCTTCTTGGCTCTCTACCCCCAGAGGGAGGCTGTGAACATAGTCCCCTCCTGCTCAGAACCTCCTGCAGCTCCATCTCACTTGGGGTAAAAGTGAGAGTCCTCACTATGGCCCACAAAGTCCCATATGATCTGCCCCTGTCACCTTTCTGCCTTAGCTCCTTCTCTTCTCCCCCAGTTGCTCACCCCAGCAACAATGGCCTTCTTCCTATTTGGTGTTTCAGGACTATCGTACTTGTTGTTCCCTGTGCTGGAAACACTGTCCCTAGTCTTCCTCCCCTACCTCCTTCAGCTCAGTACTCAAATGGCACCTACTAGGAGGTTCTTTCCAACCGTTCCCTATTGAAAATCGTAACCTCCCACCCTGACACTTTATTTTTCTCTTGGCTGCTTTACTTTTCTCCATAGCACTTCCTACCATATGACACCTTACATATTTTATCTATATATCTATTTTTAAAAATATGTTTTTATTGATTTCAGAGAGAGGAAGGGATATGGAGAGAGAGATAGAAACATCAATGATGAGAATCATTGATAGGCTGCCTCCTGCACACCACCTACTGGGGATCGAGCCCACAACCCAGGCATGTGCCCTGACCAGAAATTGAACTGTGACCTCCTGGTTCATAGGTCGATGTTCAATCACTGAACTACACTGGCCAGGCCATTTATCTAATTTTATTGTTTGCCTTACACCCACCCCTAAAACATTATAGTGCTAGGAAAACAAGATTTTTGTGTTTAATTATCCAATACTGTATCCCCAGGTTCTAGAGAGTGCTGACATAGGGTGAACCAGGCACATGTTTGCTAAATAAATGCCTACCTATTGCCTCACATAGCTCAAGGTTTTGGCGTGCCAGCCCTGTGTCCTGAGGCTTGCTCACTAAATCTTCACAGCTCTGCTCTGACATAGTTCCCAGCACACAATGAGTGAATGAGCAAGGGAGTCTCAGAGACAAACTACCGCCCGCCTGCCTGCCCCAGTCACCTTTGCCCACGAAGTAGTCCTGGTAGTAGCGGGCGCCCAGGTCCACATGCTCGATGCTGTATTGCTGCGGGCGACTCTGCGTCCTCTGTTGCTCCTTGGGCACCTCCAGCACAGAGATGCTGGCGTTGGTGCGGTAGGTGCTGGGGCTGGGCTCAGCCAGGCGGCACTCGCTCCCACCCAGGGAGGCGGCTGAGGCCCGGGAGAAGCTCACATTGCGCTCACACTCGCCACCGATCTCATTGCGGAAGTGTGGGCAGCTGAGCAGCAGGTCGTTGCTGTTGTCATCGCCCAGGTCCTGCTCCAGGTTCTCCTTGTAGTTCAAGTCCTCCATGCTGGTGAAGGCCGGGTCCAGGCCCCCAAGGCCATGGGCCCGCGACACTGTGAGGGACTCCATGGCTGAGGCGGCTGAGGCCCCAGTGGTGGTGTTCCGCCTCTGGGCCGAGGACACCCTGTTGGCAGCCGCCTCATGGAGGTCGAACAGCATGCTTTGCACATCAAAATGGGCGAAACTCTTCTGGCAGACCCATGGCCTGCTGGCCTCCGGGGGGCTCCGCCCTTCCTCTGCCTCCCCTGGGGACCGGCCAGTGTCACCTTCTGGTTTATTGCTCCTCAGCTTCCGGAAGATGGACGAGTCCACTGTGTCCCCACTGCCCAGGCCCCGCACAGGCTTCTTGCGGGCCCTCTCCTTCTCCTTCCCGGGCTGTAGTGGGAGAAGGTTGTCCCTGGTGGGCTGCTCGTGGCGGAGATCTCCCTTGGCTCCGCTGATGCTCCCTGGAAGGTGTGGGCCTGAATGGGCCTGGAGGAGCTCCGTGAGGTTCTGGGAGCCCTGGGCCTCCGGCTGCTCGTTCCGGAACTCATTGAGAATGTCAAAGAAGCTTTGCTCAGGCATGCCCTGCACATCGATAGAGGAGGTGCTCCCATATTCACGGAAGAGAGGCAAGGCCCCCATGAGCCTGCCCCCCTTAGCTTCCCCCATGTCCTCCATGTCACACTCGCTGAGGGTGAGCTCACTGCTGCTGCGATGCCGCAGGGGGAGAAAGGCCCTGCCAGGGGACCGGGGCCACCCATCCTGGAATTCCACATCTTTGGACCGTCTCCTGGAGAGTCGGTGGAAGGCCCGGGACCCTGAGGAGGCTGGGGTGTTGGTGGCAGGCTCTCCATTCTGTATGCTCCTCATGGAATGGGCCACCTTTGTGGTCTTTGTGCCATCTGTGTCCTGTGAGGGGCTCGGGTTGTTCTGCTCTCTCAGGGCCTCTCTCTTGGGTGGCCAGTCAGCCACTCTTGCACGCACGCCCATCTTGGGCACTGTGGGGGTGGTGGGACTGGGGCGGGTGATGGCAGTAGCTGGGCTCTCACCAACAGGCTGGGGCATGCCATTCTGGACCCAGAATCCCACGGGAGCATAGTCTCCTGTTTGGGGCCCGGGGAGGACATTGGCTCCCCTAACCCCACAGCTGGCTGCCAGGTCCATGCCATCATTGGGAATGGGCCGATAAGTGGTCATAGTCCACAGGCACTGGAATGCTTTGGCCCCTGTAAGCTGTAGAGTAACTTTATGGGGTCCTCTGGCCCTCAGCCATTGTTCAGGGCTGCCAGTCCCAGGATGAAGGATGCTGGCTCCTGAAGCCTAACAGAAAGGTTGTGAGTCTGTGGAGTCCAATTCTCCACCATCGCTGTGGAAAACCGAGCCAGGACAACCTCAGGAGGCAGGTGTTGTCCAGGGAGCTACAGACTGAGTGGTTCAGCAGGGCAAAGCAAACAGCAGATGGAGGAGAGGGCCAGCAGGCTGCAGGGGTGCCATGCTGAAAAGGGAGAAAAGGCAAAGGTGAGATGTGACGTTACTGCTTCCAGAGAGTAACTTTTTTGGACAGCTTCACTCACTTAAAAAAACTTTTTATTATGGATATTTCCAAATATACCCCAAAGCAGAGAGAAGACTATGAAAAGCCACCCCACCAATTTCAATAGCCATCCTATCTAATAATAGACAAACATGGTAATTAACCATACCTCCGACACGCTTCCCATTGGCTAATCAGGGCGATATGCAAATTAACTGCCAACCAAGATGGCGGCCGGCAGCCACGGAGCTGAAGCGAACAGGAGGTTTGCTTGCTCCAGTGATGGAGGAAGCCAAGGTTCCCCACCTGCCGCTGCCGGCTCTGAGCTCCTGAAGCAACAGCTCCAAAAGATACAATGTTTCAATTATAGAAGCTAAAAGATGGCGGTTAATTTGCATATACCAGCTGCGAGCGAAGACTGAGGACAACATGGAGGCCAAGCGGTACAGAAGGGAGCTAAGCAGAGGTCGCGAGGACAGAAACGGAGCCAAGGCTGCGGAGGTGGGAGGGGGGACGTGGGAGGGCAAGCCAGCCGCAGTGGCTGCGAGCGGGAGGGGCAGTGGCTTGGAGGGGAAGGGGCAGCGGCTTGGAGCAGAAGGGGCAGAGGCTTGGAGGGGAAGGGGCAGCGGCTGGGAGCGGGAGGGAAAGCCCAGCCACAGCGGCTTGGAGCGGGAGGGACAGCAACTTGGAGAGGGAGGAGCAGCGGCATGGAGCAGAAGGGGCAGCGGCTGGGGGCGGGAGGGGCAGCGGCTGGGAGCGGGAGGGCAAGCCCAGCCCCAGCCACTGGGATCGGAAGGGCAAGCCCAGCCGCAGTGACTGGGATCGGGAGGGCAAGCCCAGCCCCAGCGGATGGGAGCAGGAGGGCAAGCCCAACCACTGTGGCTGGGAGCATAAGGGGCAGTGGCTGGGGGCGGGAGGGGCAGCGGCTGGGAGCAGGAGGGCAAGCCCAGCCCCAGCCACTGGGATCGGAAGGGCAAGCCCAGCCGCAGTGACTGGGATCGGGAGGGCAAGCCCAGCCCCAGCGGATGGGAGCAGGAGGGCAAGCCCAACCACTGTGGCTGGGAGCATAAGGGGCAGCGGCTTGGAGCGGAAGGGGCAGTGGCTTGGAGGGGAAGGGGCAGCTACTGGGAGTGGGAGGGAATGCCCAGCCACAGCGGCTTGGAGCGGGAGGGACAGCAACTTGGAGAGGGAGGAGCAGCGGCATGGAGCAGAAGGGGCAGCGGCTGGGGGCGGGAGGGGCAGCGGCTGGGAGCGGGAGGGCAAGCCCAGCCCCAGCCACTGGGATCGGAAGGGCAAGCCCAGCCGCAGTGACTGGGATCGGGAGGGCAAGCCCAGCCCCAGCGGATGGGAGCAGGAGGGCAAGCCCAACCACTGTGGCTGGGAGCATAAGGGGCAGCGGCTTGGAGCGGAAGGGGCAGTGGCTTGGAGGGGAAGGGGCAGCTACTGGGAGTGGGAGGGAATGCCCAGCCACAGCGGCTTGGAGCGGGAGGGGCAGCAGCTGGGAGAGAAAGGGGCAGAGGCTGGGAGCGGGAGGGCAAGCCCAGCCCCAGCCACTGGGATCGGAAGGGCAAGCCCAGCCGCAGTGACTGGGATCGGGAGGGCAAGCCCAGCCCCAGCGGATGGGAGCAGGAGGGCAAGCCCAACCACTGTGGCTGGGAGCATAAGGGGCAGCGGCTTGGAGCGGAAGGGGCAGTGGCTTGGAGGGGAAGGGGCAGCTACTGGGAGTGGGAGGGAATGCCCAGCCACAGCGGCTTGGAGCGGGAGGGGCAGCAGCTGGGAGAGAAAGGGGCAGAGGGGGGACCAGGCCAGCAGGGGAGGGCAGTTGGGGGCAACCAGGCTAGCAGGGGAGGGCAGTTGAGGGGACCAGGCCAGCAGAGGGAGGGCAGTTGGGAGGGGCCAGGCCAGCAGGGGAGGGCAGTTGGAGGGGACCAGGCCAGCAGGGGAGGGCAGTTGGGGGCAATCGGGCCAGCAGGGGAGCAGTTAGGTGTTGATCAGGCTGGCAGGGGAGTGGTTATGGGCTGATCAGGCAGGCAGGCAGGCGAGCGGTTGGGAGCCAGCAGTCCTAAATTGTGAGAGGGATGTTTGACTCCCCATTTAGGCCCAATCCCACACTGGGCAGTCGGACATCCCTCAAGGGGTCCCAAATTGGAGAGCCACCCCCCTGTGGACGAATTTCGTGCACCGGGCCTCTAGTCCTATATAATAAAAGCCTAATATACTAAGTGCCTGGTCGTCTGTTCAACCAATCAAAGTGTAATATGCTAATGATAAGCTAAGGCCGCTCAAATGCTCGCTATGATGTGCACTGACCACCAGGGGCCAGACGCTCCAAGTGGTAGGTAAGCTTGCTGTTGGGGGCCGGCCGATTGGAACTGAGTGAGACGGGCTGGTCATGCCCTGGAGCCCTCCGGCCCCCATCGTGTGCTGTTGGGGTCTTTCAGCCTGGCCTGCACCCCGTCAGGGGATGTTGGCGAGCCGGTTTCGGCCCAATAGTGGAACAACTGGTTGCTATGATGAGCAATGACCACCAGGGGGCAGACACTCAATGCAGGAGCTGCTCCCTGGTGGTCAGTGTGCTCCCACAGGGGGAGTGCCACTCAGCCAGAAGCCAAGCTCATGGCTGGTGAGTGCAGCAGCGGTGGCAGGAGCCTCTCCTGCCTTCGCGGCAGCGCTAAGGATGTCCAACTCCCGGCTTAGGCCTGCTCCCTGCAAGGAGCAAGCCTAAGCCATCAGTTGGACATCCCCTGAGGGGCTCCTGGACTGAGACAGGGCACAGGGAGGGCTGAGGGACCACCCCCCACCCCTGCCAAGTGCATGAATTTCGTGCACCGGGCCTCTAGTATATTATATTATTCTTCACTCATCTGTGAGAGATATACTTCAAGACCACCAGTAGAACCCTATGTATTATTATGCTTTTCCCAATACATATAACTATGATAAAGTTTAACTTATAAATTAGGCAAAGTTCCTCAGATAACACCTGGGACTCTACAGATACCCCTGCCAGGGACCTGCTACCTCAGCTGGGGTCCCACGGTCAACAAATCTCCAGCCACCCTGGGTGCAGGCTCCTGTGAGTTCTGAAGCATGCTCCCCCCTGACTGGCCCAACACCTTAGCCTGGGGCACTGCAACCACGCAAGTAGCAGACACGTGAGCAGCCCACTCCAGTCCGAGGAGCAGCAGCCCCATGAGCAGCCTGCCCCAGGCCTAAGAGCAGAAGCCTCACATGGCCTCCCCAGTCCAAGGAGCAGCAGCTGTCAGCTGTGTGAGCGGCCCGCTCCCTCATCCGAGGAGCAGCAACCACGTGAGCAGCCTGCCCCGTCTGAGGACCAGCAGCCACACGAGCAGCCTGCCCACGATTGAGGAGCTGCAGCCCCACCCAGCCCGCCCCCATCTGAGGAGCAGCAGCGGTGTGAGCAGCCCATACCCATACGAGGAACAGCATCGCCGCAAGCAGCCCGCTCCCATTCAAGGAGCAGTAGCCGCCCGTGCAGCCTCCCTCAGTCCGAGGAGCAGCAGCCACACGAGCAGACCACCCACATCTGAGGAGTGGCAGCCCTGCGCAGTCCACACTGGTCTGAGAAGCAGCAGACACATGCAGCCTGCACCTGTCTGACGAGCAGCAGCTGGGTAAGCGGCCTGCCCCCATCCGAGGAGCAGCAGACACACGTGCAGCTCACTCCCACCTGAAGAGAAGCAGCTACGCAAGCAGCCCATCCCCCGTCTGCGAAGCAGCAGCCACGTGAGCAGACAGCCCCCGTACGAGGTGCAGCAGCTGCACTTGCAGCTCAATCCAGCCCAAGGAGCAGCAGCCACCCGAGCAGCTCACCCCCACCCGAGGTCATCTGAGGAGCGGCAGCCCTGCGCAGCCCACACTGATCCAAGGAGCAGCAGCCAAACGCAGTCTGAACATGCCCAACGAGCAGCAGCTGGGAGGGCATCCCGCCCTCATCTGAGGAACAGCAGCCACACGTGCAGCTCACCCCCACCCGAGGAGCAGCAACCATGCAAGCAGCCCGCCCCCCGTCTGAGGAGCAACAGCTGCATGAGCAGCCTGCACCCGTAGGAGGAGCAGTAGCCCTGTAAGCAACCTGCCCCTGTCCAAAGAGCGGCAGCCTCATGAGCAGCCCGCCCCATCTGAGGAACAGCAGCAGCGTGCAGCCAGCCCTGATCCAAGGAGCAGCAGCCACACGAGCAGTCCGAGCCCATCCGAGGAGCAGAAGCTACGTGAACAGCCTGCTCCTGTCCAAGGAGCAGCAGCCGCGCTCACCCCACCCGACCTGAAGAGCAGCAGCCTCGTGATCAGCCCACCCCTGTCCAAGGAACAGCAGCTGTGTGATCGCCAGAAAAGCAGCTAAGTGAAACAGAGGCATGCAATATGTCAGAAAAAGAATTCAGAATAAGGGTCCTAGAGTGCATAAACCGTTTGGAGGAAAAAATCAACAATGTATGTAAGAATCAAGAAGAAATGGATGAAAAAAAATCAATAACTTATGTAATAATCAAGAAGAAATAACGAGTGATATAGCTGCAATGAAAAACACCACGGAAAGTTTCAAAATTGGCTAGGAGAAGCGGAGGACCGAATTAGCGAATTAGAAGACAGGGAAGCAAAACACACCAAAACTGAACTGCAATTGAAGAAAAATCTTCAGTGACACTAAGGTGGTGGGAGGCTCCCACTGCACACGGCCCAGGCCCACGCAACCCGACCTTTGATCCATCGGGAGATAAGCAGAATGAAGAAACGACACAACACCCAGAGGAAAGACAATGAGGAATCACCAAGAAAGGAAATTAATGAAGTTGAAGCGTGCAACATGACAGAAAAAGAATTCAGAATAATGGTTGTACAATTCATTCACCGGATGGATGAGAAAATCAACAACCTATGCAAGAATCAGGAAGAAATGAAAAGTGATATAGCTACAATCAAAAACACCATGGAAAGTTTCA